CACTGGCCCCGATCCTCCGGAAAAAAAGCCCTTTTCCGGAGGATCTTATTCCTACTTCAAAGGAATAAGATCCTCCGGAAAAGGGCTTTTTTTCCGGAGGATCGGGGCCAGTGTAGACGCTCTTTTCCGGCTTTTCTAAAAACCGGAAAAAAGCGGCAGACATTTTTATTTAAATGCCGTGGGGGATATTTAAATCCCCCGCGCATTTCCCTATTGCGATTTCAAAAATTACCATGCCCCTTCCGGAAAAAGGGCCAATGTAGACGTAGCCTAGGAGAGTGGTGAAGCACTGGAATGGGTTATCTAGGGAGGTGGTGGAATCTCCATCCCTAGAGGTTTTTAAGTCCCGACTTGACAAAGCCCTGGCTGGGATGAGTTAGTTGGGGTTGGTCCTGCTTTGGGCAGGGGGTTGGACATGATGACTCTTGAGGTTTCCTCCTGCCCTAGGAGTCTATGATTCTATGATCTGTGCTGATTCATACCCGTAAATGAGATGCATGGGATTGAAAGCCACACAGAATCTGCTTCCCATGCCCTGATCATGAAATCTGAAGCTGAATTTGAATCCATGGTTTTGAACCCATAAATCTGTGAGAGTTCAGAATCTGGGCTCCAATTCAGAGATCTAATCTCACCTATCCTGCTGCTACACTGATGCAGATGACCAAAGCAGAAACCTTCAGGTCAAACTAGCCTAGTTCGTACTACCTAGTTCGTGCTCCGTGTAGCCGCGCTGCACGGGGTTCGAACCAGCGGGGTTTTAAAAATGGCGGCTCCCCGCTTATGCAAATGAAGCCCGGGAAATTCAAATCCCGGGCTTCATTAGCAAGTGCGGTATGCCTACATTACCCCGCTAGTTCGAACTAGCGGGGTAGTGTAGACATACCCTTTGATCCTTCTTACAAGGTTTCTGGGGAGGCTGCCTTATTCTGTCCTTCACAGTAGGACACCTTCTGATGCCAAGCCAGTAGTGAGTCGTCTGGTGTCACTGCGGCACAAAGCATTTGCAGCATCAGGGTCAGGTTTCTGGCCACATTTAGTAAGCATCTGTTCCTTATCACTCTGTGACTTTGGAGAAGACTGGTATCTCACACAACCACCTGGATGGAAGGAAGAGGAGAAGCTATTAGCTGCTGCCTCTGCTGCTACCATGGCTTCAGCCTCTGGCACCCTCTCCCTTCCTCCTATGCTTTTGCCTGCAGGCTCCCGCGGGATGGGGAAGTAGCACTCTCCTGGGAAGCAGGGGGTCGTGGACACAGAAGAGGGGAACTCCATGAGTCACAGCCCTGCCTGGACCCCTTTCCCCCCGGTACGGGGTTAACTCACTGCTGCAGCACCTCCTGCTGGTTGCTCTGGGGAATTAGTTCTTTTGTCAGCTTCCTTCTGGTTGATGTCTCTCCTACTCTGGACGCGCATTGCTCCCACACCATGGCATTCTCTTCAGGACACTGCTCTCTGGCAGTGCCCACTCCCTTTAATGGTCTTACTCCCTTCTGTGGGTGTTATCAGCAGTCCTGAGTCTCTATTGCCACTGTGGCCTCCAAGGCTAGCCCCTCTGTCTCAGGGGTAAGCCACAGGCTGTATGGGCCAGCTGTTCTCTGTTTCACCCAGCACTGTGTCCAACTAGGGGCCCAAAGTCTAGCTCCTTAGCCACAGTTGTCCTGTGCCTTCCCTGGGTAGGCCCTAACCGCTCACTCCTCTGCTGGGCTGCTCCTCTATAGGGGTTGGCTCTCTCCTTTCTGCTTTAATCCTGCTTGGTGAGTGTGGAGCAGTCATCTCCCCCTCCAACTGCCCACAGAATCATGCCCTGGCAGGCCCCTTACCATACCTGCCTCCAGCCTGCGTGAGTTCAGAGGCTCCGCTGAGAGCTCTGTGCACCTGCTGTACAGTGGCCGCTTTCAAGCATGACCTTGGCCTGACACAGAACATATCTCCCTTGTCTTTACAGAGACCTTCGCTGTATGTTAACAGATCAGGTTTAGGTATCTCCTGTAATATGTCCCCTTGTAACTTTTTGTTACCGCAGGAATAGCAGGCATATTGAGGTATATTCCCCTGGCTCCAGCACTTGTCCAGCTTGCACAAATCCACATGTGAAAATGGACAAAAAAGAAACATGATTAATGAGCAAATGGAGTGGAGGAACATGCTTCTGGAGATGTGGGCAGAAGGGAAGGAGAGGATGGAAGAGCAGCAGGGCAGAATAGCAGAGCGGCCGGACAGGAAAGCAAGTGAAGCAAGTCCCTGATGGCTGTGATGGAACGCTTGTCAGAGAGCCTGGAGAAGAACCCTCCCCCATCCTGTGCACAACAACTTTCCCTCCTTACCCAGTCCCATAGCCTGCACCGCAGAGCTCCCAGGACATGGGATGGGGGGAGGGAACTCAAGGGCAGCCTCACACTCAATCTCCAGGACATCAGGAGGCAAATGTTGTCCTCCTCGTGTTTCTGATCCCTGCTTCAGGTCTCACCATGGACTTCTTTTCTGCCCCTGCTGTCTTCCCCATTAAAAATGCAGGATCTCTGAACAACAGTCTCTTTATTGCTTGTATTAGAGGGGTGGGGGATTACAGGCAAACACATTGAATGCGGGGGCATCTCACTGAGAGCAACACGCATGACTCTCAAAACCGGCCTTCCATAAAACTTTCTTTCAAAGAGTCTCTGATTTGCGCTGCCCTGCATTGTGTTCTCCTTATCATCTTAGGGTCTGGCTGCTCAAACTCTCTGGCTAGGAACTCTGTCTTGGCCCCCTCCCCCACCCGACAGCTTTCCCCCTTGCTCTCACAAATATTATGGAGCACACAGCAGGCTGCCACCAGAAGGGGAATGTTGCCTTTGCTACGCTCTAACTTAGTCATAGTCTCCTAAACCTGCCCTTTAAAGCTCCAAAGCACATTCCACCACCATTCTGCACTGGATCAGCCTGTAGCTGAACTGCTTCTTCCTGCATTCCAGGTTGCCTGTGTACAGCTTCATGACCATAGTCGTAAGGGGTAAGGGATCCCACCGGCACCTGCAACACCATGGAGAAGTACCTTGTGGCTTATTTACTCCTTGGCAAGGTGGTCAGGGCTCAAGATGGGTTGTGTGTTCTCTCTATTGCCCATTGCAATTAGGGAACCCCACTGCAGCAAAGCCCTCCACATTTCCCAGAATCACTGCCCTCTGTAGTAGAGTGGTGTTGATGGCCTTGTCCACCAGCCCCCAGTGTAGGTTTCCTCACTCCAAATTGATTCCCAGCTGACCGGTAGCTGTCTGGCATTGCAAGCGGGGAATTGCCACATGCTTCTCCACTGTGAGAGCAGGTCTCATTCCGGTGTCCCTGTGCTTCAAGGGACACTTTCACAACGTTCCATGGAAGTGGCACTGAACCTCTCATTTTTGGCCCCACCCCAGAGCCTTGGGGGCCCACAGGATCTAACTAGTCTGGGACCCCTAGGCATGTGGGAAGCGTCATTCTCCTTTTATGAGGGTTGGGGGGGGGTTTGCTTCCCACTTTTGTGTGGCCCTCCAGCTGATTTTTCTGTGGAAAAAAAGCCCAAAAAAGGCTCCCCACCAAAATAGTTTCTTGGGACATCTAATTTTAACCAAGGCTCCTGCTCTTCCTCACCCCTGCAGGATTCCATCATTGCTGCTGTTGAAGCTTCTGTTGAAAACCATGCAACTCCGTCTCACAAATGTTTATCACTTTGGTTTCTGCTTGGCTTCCTGCTGTTGTTTCAGCTCTCCCATTTCATGCATCTTCACAATGAAGGAGTGGGAGCGAGAAGCAGTTTAATTCAATCTCTTCTATTGGACACAGTGTATATGAAGCTTTGTTGCATCAATATAGACTTCAGGCAGAACTATGATGCCCCCTGGAAGGAATACAAGTTGCCAACTTTCAAATCATGATTAGAGAGATTTTTAACCCCAACTGCTGGCTTCAACCCACCCAGGTGATGCTAGCATTCCTCCATCCCTCCACTGAGACCTAGTGTCCCAGTTCATAATCCATTATATACATTTAATGCCTTTTTATCATCCTGCTGATATATCTGACCACGTGAGCTTTCTTTTGTCACTAATGACCATTTCTATTACTAGTGCTGGTCAGGAACAAAAAAAGGGGGAAACAGTTTTCATGGACATTTTTCAAAAATGTGAAGTTTTCATTCCACCAGTTTCAGAAAGGAGCCATTATTTTGTTTGTTTGTTCCAACTTTCAGAACAAAATGTCACTGGAAGCTTTGACTTTGAAAATGTTACTTCTCAGTCTTTTCAGTTTAACTATTTTTTGTTCTTTTTGCCAAGAAAAATAAGGAAGGTGAAGGGGAAGAGAGAAAGAGAAAGGAGAACAGTGAAGAAATTTTTTTAAAGAAGCTTCTTCTAGATATTTCCCCCACTTCCCTGTTTCAAAAAAAGTGGAACTTTTTTTGGGGGGGGGGGGGAATGCCCCTTTTCAAGCCCCGCAACTTTCATAAGCTATTTTTAGACAAAATTGTGTTGGCAATATTTTGATCTACTACTTACCTACAAATGGCCTGAAAAAGATGCAGAGGGATGAGTTCAAGCAGATTAAGCTGTTGACACTTTTCTTTTGCCACTGAATGCAAGATCAGACTCACCTGATCTAAATTGCTACCAAGGGAGCTACCCACCAGCTGAGGAGCTGGCCTATGGATTTCAGGGGGAGTTACTTGTTTTCTGTGGGTGAAATTCTGACCCATTGAGCTTTTTACTGTGTGTCAGGATGAGGAGGGAATGCAGGCTTAAATTAAACTGTACAAATAAATCTAATGGATGAGATCCCCAGCTAGAGTAAAAAAACATCGTTTCAATGGTAACAAGCAAGGAAGACTCTGATACCTCGTGTTAGTCATGCACTTGACATGACTCAGGGGCTATGTCTACACTCGCGGCTTCTTGCGCGAGAAATATGCAAATGAGGCTAAGCATAGAATATCACTGAGCCTCATTTGCATACCTAATAAGCAGCCATTTTGCAAAAGAGGCTCTTGAGCTAGAAGGAGCTGTCTACCCGGCCCCTTCTTGCACAAGAAAACCCTCTTGCGCAAGGCCATTATTCCTGAAAATAATCAGCGTAGCAGCATTGCACAAGAGGTTTTTCTTGCACAAGAAGGGGCAGCGTAGACAGCTCCTTCTGGCACAAGAGCCTCTTCTGCAAAAATGGTGGCTCATTAGGTATGCAAATGAGGCTCAGCAATATTCCACACTCACACAAGAAGCTGCGAGGGTAGACATAGCCCCTGAGTCATGTAAAGTGCATGACTAACACGAGGTATCAGAGTCTTCCTTGCTTGCTCTTATTACCATTAGCCATCATTTCTAGTATCTTCCTGCACATGATATATGCTATAGCACGTGTGTGATGCTGCAGTGTCACCATAAATGGTGATCACAGCTCCTAGAGGAGTTACGCTAACTTCATGTTAAGAATTGTGGCATGGTCAGGCCAGAGGGCTCCTGCAGAGTAGGGGAAAGGCAGCCCAAACAGGGGGAAAGACCTGCTAAATAGGAGCAGAGGGTGGCAGGGCAATTAGAAGCAGCTGTGAGGGGGCTGGCTCAGGCAGATTGGGGCCAGCTGACTCCACTGCTGAAGGCCTTTAAAAGCCTCCACAGTTGGAAGGCAGAGGGGCCTATTTGAAATCATGGGAAGGTGGGTGAAGCCTGCAGAGGGGAGAGTGAGCAGAGAGGAGAAGAGGTATAGGAGAGCCAGAGAGCAAAAGTTTAAGAGTGAGTCATACTAGCTTCAGTGCTGAAACAGCAGGGGAGGGAGTCCCAGGAGGAATGTCTGGGCTCCCTAACACCAACCCCTGGGGAGAAGGGTGAGAGACTGGCCCAAGCAGTGGCCTGGGTAAGAGGGGCCCTTGCCACAAAGCATTAACAGCACTTTATAACAGAAATCAAACCCTGCCATTGTGCTGATGTCTGCAGCAATACCTTGTCTTGGGATCTTCCGAGGAGTCCCAAATTAAGCTGAGTTAGGCTTGATTGGTACCTAAAAAAGAGAGTTATATGAAACCTTTAAGATGAAGAAAGGCTGTTGGTGCCAGTGTGTGACACCTTCCCCTCAGAGTTAATATTAAGCCAATATTAGTGCATGAGGTCTGAGAGCAGCATGCTGGGGTATGTATGTGCCATGTTTTAATGTGTATGGAACAAGGAGGTCTTGACCACACGAGATCATTGAAGTACCCAAAGAACTGTTTACAAGAGTCTGTAGGAAAATTACTTTGATTGTCTATCTGACCACAGTGCATCTCAGGAGGTAGCCACATTATACTTCTCTAAAACATTCTCTTCAGTTGCAAATACAGTGGCAGAATGACTTCAGTGGGATGCTAATTTCACTCATTATACTACAAATTCCTATACTAAACTGCTCTAGAGTGGGCTCTTAAATAGAGATGGCTTAATTTCAGTAACAGCTGAAGCAATTCTGGTATGAATATACACGGTGATGTATGGGGAAGGCATTATATAACTACAACACCTAATGGTGGAACATGAAAGAGAAATAAATGTTTTACTATAGTAAATTATTAGCAGATTGCCATGTTTTTCATGATTCCAGGAGGGACCTTTTTCTTGTATTACACATTCAGGCTGTCAGTACTTATTACAGAAAGCTAGCTATTCAAAGGTGATCAGAAATCTCCCTCATGCCTCCTTTGGGAGGATGCAGTCAGAGATTTCAAGAAGCTTATGCCAATTATTTTCTCTCACTGTCTATCAGCACAGTGATGTCTGACATACAGTAATAATGTAAGACAGGTGCTGCATAAAGAGTTTTCTTAACCTCCATTCACTCAATAGTTTCCTTTAATTCCCCCTTCCTCCATTTTTGTGTATTCCCAGCTGTCAATCCTATTTGCATATGCAAAACACACACTCAGTATCAGAGCAGATGCAATACAATGCACCTTTACCTGCCTTCTCTTTTAGCTTTATCACAACGTCACACTCAGACATGAATTTTCTATGGAAGAACTCACTGAGAATGTAGCCCGTCAATCCTCTCATGCCTGCCATTTGCCTGGCAGCTCCAAGGAAGAACTTTGTGTTTTGGGTTGGTTTATAAAACATCGCTTTACTATAAATTCTGGGGTGACAACCAGGGCCCAGAGCAGCCTCTCAAGGAAGTGGCCATTAGATATGGAACCATTACCACTAGAAACCTAGCCCTTTTGAAATTCGATAGGACTTTTCCACTGACTTCATTGGCATCGGCATGGCATGCTAGGTCCCCAGTTTGAAAAGGGGGCAAATCGGTGGTGACTGAAAGACATTTCTGAAGGGTCAGGTGATCTGATTTTAGGGCTAGCCCATCCTTCTCTCTCAAACCAGGTTTCAGAATTGGAATTTGCTCCCCACTTCTTGTTCACCAACCCTGCCTCCCTCAGGCTACTCGCAGCCTGAGTTTTGAGAAGTGTCTCGTGGCCAGCCGTCATTTTACTTGGCCTATTTGACAACAATGCCCTTGGAGAAA